TATATATATATATATATATATATATATATATATATACACACATAAAGAGAGAAACAAACAAATATATAAAGAGACAGACAGAGAGATATATATAAAGAGGAAGACAAACAGAGACAAGAATAAAGACAAAGCAAAGACAAAGAAAATAAAAAAAAATAAAAAAATAAATAAAAACAAAAACAAACAAAAACAAAAATAAATAAAAACAAAAACAAACTGAGGTATGAGAAGACGCCAATCGTCAACGCCAACCGCATGCAGCAGCAACCAGCTAGCTAGCTAACTTAGCCTCGCTAGCTGGCCAGCTAGCTGTATAGCTAGTTAAACAGTCAGCTAGCCAGCAGTTAGATCATTCCGTAGCTAGCTAGCTAGCTAGCTAGCTAGCTGGCTAGCTAGCTAGCTAGCTATATAGCTAATTGCGTAGCTAGCTAGCTAGCTGTGTAGCTAGCTAGATAGTTTAGCTAGCTAGCTAGCTATATAGCTAGATAGATAGCTTAGCTAGCTAGCTAGCTAGCTAGCTAAGCCAGGTATACAGCTAGCTAGCTAGCTAGCCAGCTAGCTGGCTAGCTAAGCTAGGTGTACAGCTAGCTAGCTAGCTAGCTAGCTAGCTGTGGGTGCGTCATGGCGAGAAGATTCTGAGGAGTTTCTCCCAAGGCCGAAGGGATTTCCAGGGTTTCTGCTGCAGCTGCTGCTGCTGCTGCAGCAGCAGCTGCTGCTGCTGCAGCCAAGGTGTTTTGTGGCGGGGATGCTGCAGCGGGGAATCGATATTTTTCTGCTGCTGCTGCTGCTGCTGCTGCTGCTGNCTGCTGCTGCTGCTGCTGCTGCTGCTGCTGTGCTGCCTCTATGTACGAAACGACAGCAGCAGTTGCTGCAGCAGAAGCAGCAGCAACATGAGTAACAAGCCGACACAGCTGCTGCCTGCTGCTGCTGCTGCTGTTGCTGTTGCTGCGAGCGTGATGCAGCACCGATACATCCATACCCAAAGCACCAAACCTGCAGCAGCAGCAGCAGCAGCAGCAGCAGCAGCAGCAGCAGCAACAGCAGTGGCAGCAAGTATGATGACAGCAGCAGCAAAGGCAGCAGAAGGTGCAACAGCAGCAGCAGCAGCAGCAGCAGCAACAACAGCAGCAGCAGCAGCATCACCACCACAACCATCAGCAGCAGTAGCAACAACAACAATAGCAGCAGCAGCAGCAGCAGCAACAGCAGTAGCAGCAACAGCAGCAATAGCAACAGCAGCAACAGCAGCAATAGCAACAGCAGCAGCAGCAGCAGTGGCAACAGCAGCAGTGGCAACAGCAGCAGCAGCAACAGCAGCAGCCGCGCAAACAGCAACAACAGCAGCAGCAGCAACAGCAGCATCGCCACA